GAATGTAAGCAGGGAGTACTTCATAAGCAAATACATAATGCTAAATGATTAGGAATCCTGCCATAAATAACTGCAATCCATGCAGGACTCTACAGTGAGATAAAAATCATCATGGACATAAATCTTAAGTCTGAAAACAAATTGAGATGCATCAACCAATGAAATAAGACACTTCACAAAGTAAATTATTAAAACAACATGAACATAGGTGTGTGAAAGGTTTAGACACTTACAGCTACTCTTTGTTGATTGAGACCACCATTTGCACTGACCATTATGTATCCATTGCTTTTGTCAGGTTGCCCTGTCTCCACAAATTATACTTAATTATGGTACTTCTGGTCATTTAATTTCCCAGATTTTATACTGTCAGTCTGTCACTCACTTTGATCATACCAAACACTGCTTTCACACACACATGAACACAAAAAAGAAACGATTTTCATACCTAATTTCTCTGATTCTTTTCTGTCTGCACATGGTTTCCATAAAGATGCCTTCCATGGTTCCTCCCAGAAATTTGAGGGCTCTTGCTTTAACTCTTTCTAAAGCAGAGGAGGTTTGAGGTTTATGACATTATATTTCAAAAACTCATCTAACATGAATTTGTTGAATATAAAAATTTGGAAGCAAACCTCTGCTAGGGCACTGCAAGCCAAGTTTTGGAGACGACCATACATCTGGACTGGTGGTTCTTCTTCATTGGCATAGGCAGTTCTACCTCCCTTTACATTCAAGAAATACCAATTAATTAGCATCCTTTAGGTAACTGTCTCAAACACTTGACCTCTTAACTTACGGAAATTTTCATGTTGGGAGCTAGAAAAGAAAACTTGTGCCATATCGTATGCAATGCAGACAGAGAACTAACTAAAAATACATAAATCTTTCAGATTTAATGATAGACTACGAAATTTTGTCCTTATAAAGAATGTCCAGAAAGAAAAATGAAAAATAAAAGGTTCACGGTCCATTATGTGATGGAAGAAGCCATGGCGATGGGTGCAATTATATAATCATTAAAAAAAAAAATTCCTTGCATGACTTGAACATTACCACTCGTCCCAGTCTCCCCAGCTATGTTAACTGATAGCATAATTGGAATGTCAATGCAATGAATTGTATGTTGTAAACTGTGAATGATCATGAGTAGAGTTGTATAGACCACATTAAGTGAAGTAATTGGTTAATTACTGCTGTAAATGATGAAAACAGCTCGGGTGAACAGATTTCCAACACCGTCATTGTTCAAATCCTCAAGTTACTTGAAAATGCAGTGTGTTAGTTACCTCAATGCTATAAGAACACAGCATCATACCTTAAGATCACTTGATGTCCTTGAGGGTGAACTATTTTGAAGATTTATCGAATCAAAAAGTGACACCATGAAAGAATCAAGCAGGAAAAGAGACCCCATCAATGCAAACATAAAAACAATTGACTTAACATGCTTACGGAACCACAAATTCCTTTTCCCAACATAAACTGCCTTACAAGAACCAAGCTTTCCATACTCATAATTCAAATCATGAAGCAAGGCAACTTTTGTTTTCCAATTATTGTCCCCTCCTGACAATCTCCTCCCAAGGATAGGATCACTACCAGGCAAGCATTCTGAGCTTCTTGTGTGATAATCTTTCACATTCACCACGTCGGGACGTGGACTTCTCGGGGATCCTTGCCTCCCCATTATAGCATCACCTCTCTCAAATCTCAATAAAGCTTAACTAGTTAGAGTAATAACAAGATGCCACCACAATGTGTGACACGCACAGCACGACTAAGAAATCTAATTTTCTTGATAATTGACCAATTAAGAGAAAATCACTTCTCAAGCAACCATTACAAGAAACCTGAGCAACCTACGTTCACATCGATATCAATGTTGAAAAATATAAAATTCTATTGTCATGAAACTGCAAGTATGCAAAGTATAAATCGTTTTCAAGACGACAACTACAAGAAACCCTCTCTACGCCTGCATCCCTCTATCTCTTAACAATGACCCACCAACGCATTAGATGAAATAAACAAAGTTCAAGTTCGGTGGCGCATTGAAATCGTGAACTAGAAATTAAATTTGAGATCGATGAAACAAGAACATCCAAAAATAAATTAAAAGCGAAGCCAAGGAGTTGGTGACAGTGGTTATATGTATCCATGGATGAGTGAGATATAAGAGCTGAAACTCAGCTACACTTTCCAAACCAATTACCTTGTAAACGAAGATTCATATCTGCAACAGCTACTTGCCACCAAACCCAACTACAGCAGCAGCAGCACATTCTCTTGGAGCTTTTTCCTGTCTTTGTGCAGATACAAAGAAGAAGAAGAAGAAGAAGAAGAGATAGAATCATACGTGGGGGTGCAAAATGAAAGTTGCAAGGTTTGGTCAATTTGGCGGATGCTATATCAAATTCATAACTAACGGTAGAGGAAATCGTCGGGAAATACAGTTTATAATTAAAATTATAACTAACTTTTTAAAAAATATTGACTCTCTTGTAAGAAAAACCTGATTGTACATTAACTTGATAAATACTTTAATTGTTAAGTTAATTTATATGATCTCACTTTTATAAAATTATCGAGTGTAATCACCAGAGTTTTTAAATCTGGCTTGCTTGTCAACCCGCGTCATCAGATTTTGATTTAGTTGTTGGGGTTAATTTTAATATTTTTAAAAAATAAAAATAATATTATTTTAATAAAAATAAAAAATAAAAAATAAAAAACAATAATTTATAACTAAGTTTGTAAAGATTTTACTAAAGATAACAGGATTAACTCGTCAAATTACTCTTAAATTTTACTTTTTATTTTTTTAAATCTAACCTGATTTTAGCTCTCAATCAATTAGATTTCAAGCCAACCCATCAAATCAGACTGGATTTCAAATATTTTTTTTTTTTATTTTCATGCCATAAATCCATTAGGTTAATTGTTTTTGTAAAGAGAAATGTAAAAAAAAAAAAGACAGAATAAAGATTTTTTATTTATCTTTTCAATGTTAAAAAATATTTAATATATTTTTAAGATAATGAATATTAAATTAACATATACAACTAATTTAATAGCCTAATAAAACTTGATGATTTGCATTCAAGGTACTATTCAAGGTACTATTATAATAATCAATGATTATGTAACTCAAATATATCTTAATATGATGAATTTAAATTCTAGATTTGGAAGAAAAATTAAAGAATTAAAAAAATTAAAACACTAAAAATAAAGTGAGAAAAAAAATAAAAAAATCTAAAAAATATACAAGGTTAAAATTATCCACCCTATCTTTTTATAATAAATTTAGAAAGATAAAAAATTAAAGAATTAATTCTCATCATGATCAATTATTGATTAGCCATCATAAATCAAGAATTAAATTTAGAATAATCAAGAGTTCTTTAAATGAAAAGGCTAAGGGTTTTTTGAGATTAATTTTTTATTTACCTTTAATTTGTTTAATTAAAAAAAAATTTCTAACACTATCCAATTGAGATAACTACCAAAATATTTATATTACTATTAAAAATGTCATAAAGTCACAATTTAATGAAATAACCTTTTGTCCAATAATTCTTAAATCATTTATTTCTTTTCAATAAAATAATATATTGGGATTCTTATCAAAGAAAAATAAATAATTGAAGTACAATATATTTTAAAACAACAAACTTTCTCACGTGAAACAAACACATTACACATGCATTATTATCATTGTATTAAAATCATCTTGTAAGAAGGAATAAAGTGAGTTTCATTTTATTTATTTATTTGTTTGTTTGATAAGTCAAAAATGATATTTTTAAAATGAAGGTGTTGTTTGGTAATTAACTGTTTTTGTAAAAAATAAATGTTGAAATTCAATACCAAAAAATAAATAAAATCGAAGTGACAACCATTGTTTTATCTTCATAAGCCCGAGCCTTTTGTCCAATAATTCTTAAATCATTTATTTCTTTTCAATAAAATAATATATAAAAAAAAAAAAAAGAAGATCGACAATGCCACAAGGAGGTTTTTATTACTATTATTATTATTATTTTAATTTTATTATTTAATATTAAATTTTTATTTAATTATTTTAATTTTTTAATCTTATTCTTCAATATTTGTTTAATTTTAAATTTTTTTATAATTTATTTTAATTTTTTATAAGTGAAATTATTACAATTTCAAACAAAATTCATAGTATTTGATTTGTACTTAATTTTATGAACATTTATTTCTATTATTATATAACTAAATAAAAAATAATTCTAAAAAATAAAATTATTAAATTTAACAGAGTCCATGATCTAAATTATGAGTTTGATATGTTAAGTTGTAAAGTCCGAATTTATTTAATAAATTATTATCTTAATATTAAAAAAATATCATTTTAATTTTTTAAATCAAATTATATTTTTTATCAGTTGTTTAAATTATTTTTGAATTTATAAAATTAACTAAGTTATATTAATTTTTATATAATTTAATTTTAAATTTATATTAAATAAAAAATAAACCGATAAATTTAAAAATTAACTCATTAAATCAAGTTTAATAATAATATTAAAACTCATTAAATCGAGTTTAATAATAATATTAAATAATTTAAAAAAGAAAACTTTATACTCAATTTTTTTCAATCCTATTCGTAGGTTAGCGCAGCCCGATAAAAAAAAAACCTTTATGCTCAATTTTTTTTTAATCCTATTCGTAGGTTAGCGCAGCCCGATAAATCAAACAGAAAAGGGTAAACACGCAAGAAGAGCTTTACTAGTACAAAACATCATCATAAGAAAATACATGTATACCTTCATGGATGCAGAGAGATTGAAAATGACTTCTTCTTTCAAGAGCAGAAAAGGATAACAAATTGGATTATTTTGTTTTTTCTCATTTACCAGGGAAGACAACATTAAAAGTGTTTAAATTATTTAATTATCATATTAGTAGAATTAATGTTTGTAAACTTAAATCTCATATAATAGTTGACCTATAGGTTCGGTCAGTATTTTAAATCCGGATCATATTGGATTTTGGACTGCAAACACTATAATCCTATGTTCATGAACGAATTGATGTTAGATTGACCAGTCCTGTTCATGTTTGCCACGTCCATTCATCACATCACCTATGATCGCACTAAAGGAAGGACAACATCAGAAGCACTTCCGGCGAGGACAACATCAGAAGCACTTCCGGCTGCATTAGCAACGCAGGTCCATTATCGACTACCACTAGAGCAGGGGACACCATTAACACCATCCCCTATCATTCCATATGCGAGCTTACTCATCAGCAGCCTGGTAACAATCCATATTTGTATTCCGTTGAAACTAAAACAAAACAAGAGATGTTTAGACGAGGAAACATCAAGGAAAAAAAGGTGGACTCTGAAGAATAGTAATTCAACAATCTTTTACTTATTCTCAACACCACTTGTGATCATGAATTCTACAGAAGAAGAAAAATTAAGGAGTATGAAAATGCTTACGCGCCATGATAAGGACAAGAATACAGAGCTGGTGCATTTTAAAAGTAACATCAGAAAGTTGAATCAGCTCATCTGCAGCGGTGGCTGCGCCGTTGGAAGCTTCTTTGTCTTGGCCGAGCAGTGCAGAGGAAGATACGTGTATGTTCTCTTTCCAGTCTCTTGCCAGTTAGCTTGGCAATTACGAGCTGATATCTTGGACATTGAAACAATGAAATAATAAATCTTACAGCAAGAAATTACTTCAACAAAACCACATTTGTTTTGCTTGAGAACCAGTTGGTTCCCTGATCATCAACAGTTCGATTGATAGGGCAGAACAATCATCAGAGTGTACATATCATCTAGGTGATATGCTACGAAACATGGTCGAGCTTATGCTTCAACAAGCTTGTCCTTGATATGGAGGAGCGAATCGAGCACACTCTCAACTTGATGTCAGGGATAGTGCTGCAGTCAGCAGCCCCTCAAGATGCTCTCCAGAAACTTGTCCTTGATCTTCTTCATTCTTTGAAGGGCATCTTGAATGTTGATCGTCATGTCAGGTGAATCTTCACAGCTTTCTTGGGCCAACCTCATGACAGAGGAGGATATACGTTGTTCTTTGGATTCAATATTTCTAGGTTCTGTGTTTATCATATTGGAATCCATGATTTCTAAGGCAGGGTGCGTAACAAAAATCCTACCGTATGAAGACCTCTAGAAGTGTCAAATAAACTTTTTCGTTAAATACATGGCTTAATTTTTTTATCCAATCGTGCTGAAAGTTTGTTAAACCATTCTATCAGCCTTGTTCCCGTAAAGGTTAAGAAAACAACTTCATCCAAGTTCCGGACCTTACAGGCTAAATGACTACAATGTTTTTTATATATATTTAAATAACCTTACAGGCTACTTTTCATTGAAAATCATTGATAAATTTTTCAGAAAATATCAAAGTTTGCTCTCTATTTCTCTATAATTTTGGGATGTAACCTTAAGAGTTTAAGAACCTACTTTTATTCATGTTGCATGCCACGCCATTGGCATCAAAGTAAATTGGCATTTTTTACGGAAGTAGATGATAGCAACAACCCATTCCTCGATGCTAAAGGCAGCGCAAGGAACCCAATTGCGGAAGCTAGGTCGTTTAGAGCAAACAATGGTAGCAATGTTGAATAGATTGGAACATCTAGTTCAACTAATGAGAGACAAACAAAAATCATGACGAGAAAAGAGACGTACTCGAAGATTTATCTCTGGGCAAACCAAACCCCAAATCTATCCCTACAAACCTAAATATGCATGATGTTGATATAGACAATAGTGTTTACCATAGATAAAGCATTAGAGACTTAACTCACAATCAACCTTTATATAGATGTATTTTTTAGTTCGATGAGATTCCTTTCTATTAAGTAAAATTTTCTAAAAATAGATTTATTAATTGATTGTCAGAGTTGGAAACTTACTTTTATTTAAACAAGATTTTTTTGTTATAACATGGACTTTTTTATAATACTAAAGAATAATATTTTGAAGTTCTAGAATATACAACTAAAACTAGTAAGCTTTTAATTTCATTGTAAGATTCTATAATGATTAGATAAATAATTAAATTATAATTATTTCTTTTTTTAACCTTCTTAAGTAACAAGAAAAAATATAAACAAGATGTCATCTTTTTAAAGTAAACGATTTATATGTCATAATAATGATAACAACACTATTACAAACATTAGGCTATTTATAGATAATTCATCTACTAATAGTGAAGAGGAAGTCAAGGAAACTCCTAAATTAATATCATATACTAATTCTTAAAGTCTTGAAGCACTATAAGAAAATGAAGATCCATTAAGTTATACAATCTTGAAAAAAGAATTAAAATAGAATAATCAAATACCATCATCTACATTGCTCTCCAAGTAAAAGGATCGTACTAAAATCATGATTTAAAGTATTGAAAAGTATCCATCATCTACATTGCTCTCCAGGTAAAAGGATCGTGAGACTGAAATCATGATTTAAAGTATTGAAAAGTATGTTTAAAAAGTAGAAATACTAATATATCCATAATAGTATTCCTTACCAAAGACAATAAAAAATACATACTTGCATAGCAAACATACAAATACAAATGAGTGGGGAAGTCTAAAATAAGCTTTAGAAAATTAACATGGAGGTCTTGAGTTTAGTGGTGACCCAATGAAAATTTTAGAAGTGAAATGATGTTAATAATACAGTGAGAGAACTTTTAGATATTTTTCAGGGTGTAGTGGACTTGTTATATTCAAAGTATATATTTTTTTTGAAGGTTAAAGTTTAATTTTTAATAATTAACTCGAATCCAATGAAAATTTTAGAAGTGAAATGATATTGATAATACAGTGAGAGAACTTTTAGATGTTTTTTAGGGTGCAGTGGACTTGTTATATTCAAAGTATATAATTTTTTTTGAAAAGTAAAGTTTAATTTTTAATAATTAACTCGAGGTTAAATTTTTTACAAGTAAAAAGAAATGACACGGGATATATAACAAAAATTCTAGAACATGAAGAAGTCTGAAAGTGTCAAGTGAGTTTTCAAATAACAATTAGACTAAAAATTACATTGAATCGATCTAAAAATTTTCTACATTATTCTAAAAGACATGTTACTTATAAAAATAAAAAACAAACTTCACCTATATATGGTAATATGCCCAAATTAAACCTAGAAGTTACTATTTAAGTTTTTTTTTTATTTGGATTATTTTTTCTATTTAGATTAGTATTTTAAATTTAATTAGAATTTTACGAATTAATATGTTTTTCTTGTATTGAAATAGCCTTATAGGCTATTTTTTGTTGAAGATTATTGAATAACAAACATTTTAGAAAATATCATAGTTTTCTCTAATTTCTTAATAGTTTGGGCTATAATCTTAGGGGATAAAAAACCCTAGTTTTTATTCATGTTATACACTGCATCAAATTATAGTTGAAATTGAGTTATAAATCCAAACCCAATTCTTTAAACTCATTTCTTAATTGAACATTTCATTAATGGCTTGAGAATGTTTCCATATACGTAATTTTGTAACAAAAAACATCCCTTTTAGTTGACATTATTCCTTGTGATCTATACTTTGCATATCTCAAGACATGTATAATCTCATCCTTAATTAGTTATTCAAATTAATCAAAGTATTTAATATTTCAAAGAACATGAAAAACCAAATAAAATACAAAGCAACTTCACCTGGTGTTATATATCCAATTATAACTAGTGTAGTTGTTTGTTTCCTTGATACACTCTCACCTAAGAGCTTTACAATGCCAAAGTCACCTAAATAAATGACAATATGTATAATCATATTGTCATTCATTTAGACACTGTTAGGTTTCAAGTCACAATAAACCATAAATATACCATAAATATAGGATGATTATAGTATAGATATTCCATAAAAAATACATATATAATCATATTGTCATTCATTTAGACATTGTTAGGTTTCAAGTCACCGTAAACCATAAATATAGGATGACTATAGTATAGATATTCCATAAAAAATACAATGTTTTATAAAATGTTCAATCACCGTAGGATATCCTTGCAACAATTGTGAGAATACAACAACATCTTAAGGCTTCCATTGGGCATGTAATCTACTAAAGTTTTGAAATCAATGTTGGTAAAGCTGCTGATAATATTGATGAGATTTATGACAAATACTTCATTTACTTCACATTCTAAATCAAAGCTTTTGAATGTTTCTTTTAGTTGCGGGTTGAAGCCTTTATGGCCATAGCCATACCATTAGAAAGGTTTCCTTTATATATTGAACCAAAACTAGCTTCACCATGTAGGTTATTTTTGTCAAATCCACCAATTACTTACATAATTTCATGATATGAAATCCAACTATATATTGGTAATTTAGGGAATAAACTAGCTTAAGTGGAAATTATCTCATCTTTCCTTCACCACCTTGTTATTAGTATTTTTGTTATGTAGTTAATCAATTGGTTATATATATTTATTATTAATAAATATATTTATTATTTTTAATATTAATTTATATTTTATTAATTAATCAAATATTTCATTAATGAATCTAAAGTAAACATAAAGTCTTTGGAACAAAAATGTTTTGAAAAAAAATTATAAAATTAAAATAATTATGAGATTTTTATTGTATCAAAATATTGTTCCTAAATGTTCCTAATTGATATTCTATTAATATTAAATATTAATTAGAGTTATTAAAACTGATACATATTATATTTTTTTTCTTTATGAAAAAGAACAATTGTTCTTATAAGCTAAGGTACGAGAAATACTTGGAACTAATATTTATGAGCTTGTCAGATTATATGAACATTGAACCAACCCATATAAATATTTTATATAGAGAGATCACTTGTATTTTTAGAAAGGTTCATATAATAGTTGTGTAAATGATCCTTTGTTATTTTATATAGAGAATGTCATGCTTTAATTCTGACTATATATTGTCCTAATCAAAGGTAACTAATGAAAACAATATTAGGTATAGCATAAATTATATTAAGATAATTATATTATTAAGAGATAATTTATTACCCTATATGAATTAGAAAAAACATTTTACATGTTCTCAAGTAGTATTGATTGTGAAATTCTTACACAATGTGAAATAAAATTTGAAAAGAATTTCAAATTTTATTTAAATAATCGATGACTATAGTGTTGAAAACAACCATAATTTAACAGAGCAGACATATTACATGTCATAATGTCTAAATAAAAAAATTCTTAATAAAGGAATAATAATTACACTGAGAAATTTCTAATTGAAAGGTTATTAAAAAAAAATCACTTATGACTTTTCTAATATTTTGAGGTTCATGAAATTTTACTAAGCAGTGCACTTAATCTTAAAATATAGATCAATTAATTGTTAAATTAATAATAAATGAAATTATTTAAAATATTTAATTTGAGGCCCTGTTTATTTGCTGGAAGTAGTTTTTTTTAAAATAAATTTCTAAAAAGTGAATTATTTTCTGATGTTTGCAAATGTCATGAAAAATAAATTGAAAAATATTTTTCAATATTTGGTTGTGTTATGAAAAATTAGTTGGAAAATAGCTTATTAATTTTTTATTTTTTTTCAAGTTTATTAAAATAATAAGGAACAAATCTTACAAATTAAAAAATTAAATGAGAATTAAATTGAAAAACATCTAATTTCATAAATTATCTCAAATAAAATAATAAAAATAAAAATAATAGAGATAAATATAACAAATAAAACATTGAAAGATGATGAAATTAAAATAATTATAATTATAATTTCATAAATTATTTCAAATAAAATAAGTAACAATCAAAAGAATAAAAACCAAATTTGATAGATAAAAAAATTCAATTGAAAAAATAGTAAGAGAAAAGCAAATAACAATCATAAAAATAAGGACCAAAGTTAATATAAAAATCAAATTAAATAAAATTTTAAGAGATGAAGTTAAAAAAAAAGATTCAAACAAAATATATATCAATCAAAAGTTTGAGGATCAAATTTGATATAATTAGCAAATAATATGATATTTCTAGTTTTTTCATAACTTCTGAAAAGTGTTTTCCACCAAAAATAAAAAGAAAACACTTTCTTGAAAATCAAGCCAAATTTTTCTTTAATTGAAAAGTATTTCCCATTGACTAAGTTTTCTAATAATAAATAAACACAGAAAAGATTGAAAAGTGATTTCTAGAAAAC